GGGCTGGACTTGTGATTTAAACAGAAATCTGTTTCCTGACTCCGTCCACTGGAACTACTCCATAGCAATGAGAGCATCAAACACCCCGATCTTGGCTTCTGACTAACATCCCCTTAAAAAAATGAAATAAAAAAGGTAGTGAGGCAGGGAGAGCACAGGCTGAGCCTGGAACCTGTTGGTGTGTCGGAAAGTAAGAAAGTAATCTGAGAAAGACAGGGACCTGTCACAGAGAGGCAGGAGCCAAACCTGGAGCTACGTGAGCCCCAGCAATGAGTGGCCTTACAGTCAGAGAGGAAGGAAGTAGATGGTGGAGGCCAGGGCCTAGGGGAGGAGGGGCCGTTAGTGCTTCATGGGAACAGTTTCAGTTTTACAAGATGAAAAGTTCTGGTGATGGGTGGTGGGGATGGTTACATAACCATGTGAATGGCCCTAGTCGGCATGGCTCAGCGGATAGAGCATCAGCCTGCAGACTGAAGGGTCCCGGGTTCGATTCCGGTCAAGGCACATGCTTGGGTTTCAGGCTTGATCCCCAGTAGTGGGTGTGCAGGAGGCAGCTGATCAGTGATTCTCTCTCATCATTGATGTTTCTATCTCTGTCTCCCTCTTCGGTCCTCTCTGACATTAATAATAATAATAATAATAACAATAATAAGATGTGAATGAACTTAATGCCACTGAACAGTACATTTAAAATGGTTAAAATGGTCAATTTTATGCTATGCGTATTTTACCACAATAAAAAAATTAGAAGAAAAAATATTTCCATATAATCCAACATTCCACTCTTAGGTAGCTACCCAACAGCAGTTAGAAAAATCACTTTTTCTGTAATCGTCATAGCATTAATTAGCCCAGGCGATAATCAACAATAAATGCTAAAATTATTGGATAGAACCCTGGCCAGTTTGCCTCAGTGGATGAAGCATCGGCCAACAGTATGAAGGGTCCCGAGTTCAACTCCGGTCAAGGGCACTGCATGCCCAGGTTGCGGCGCGATCCCTAGTAGGGGAAGTGCAAGAGGCAGCCTATCAATGATTCTCTCTTATCATTGATGTTTCTATCTCTTGCTCCCTCTCCCTTCCTCTCTGAAATCAATAAAAATATATTAAAAATCACTGAGTGGAATTTTGTTGGGGAACAGGATATCGACATAATCTCAACGTATTTTCCTACAGAATACATATCAATGACAGACAGAAAAATATCTTACTCGAGAAACCCTTGAATGTCCCCTTGAGACAGGCCAGCAGGCCAGGACAAGTGGCCTAGGAAACGGAGACAGACAGCTAACCAAAGCCGAGCAATTTACTGCAGATCCAGAGGGTCACCTGCTGAGAGAGAACATCTAGGCCTCAATTGTAGTTCAGCTCCAGGCCCCAACCAGCAGTCAAACCCGGTGGGTGACACCAGGGACCAGCTGCAATGACCAATGACCCCCTGCCCTGGCACTGACCATCAGTGGAGACCACGACCCTGAAGGAGCACACTAGAAAACTGATGAATATTTTCCTAAAACTCTGCCCTGAGGACCACCATCCCCTGTACATTCCCCCCTGCAAGAGAGAGATAAAAACCTCAAGACAACGGACCCAGCACCTGCTCTTTCTCTCAGGAGCACCCCTCCCCCCCCGCCATTCTCTTTCCTCTTCTTCCCCCCCTTCTTCTCCCACAGGCCTGCATCTCCTAAATTCTAAAGGCACCCAGGAGGCTTGCAACCAGGGAGCAATGGACAGCGGTAGCGTGTGCCAGGCTAACCCCTGAACCTGTTCCCAGCCTCCTTTCCTCGGACTCCCCAGAGAGCGAGGAGGCCCAGCCTAGGCCCCCTGGTTGCTCTTCTGTGCTAAGCCCTTTCTTGTTTCGCTGTCCCCAGCTTTAATAAACGTTCCCTCCTAGTCATCTGGGACTTGTATTGTTAAATTTTTCCTGCACGAGCCAAGAACCCACACATTACCAGCCGGCCCTAGGCACGCCCGCCAAGGGCTAGGCCCCTTTGGGTAACAGCCTTCACCAAGAGATTCCAGTCAGCGTCACTGGAAATGCAGTGAATGGTCTCACACACTGAGGAGGCAACAGCGCTTCTGTGATAGTCCCACCAAGCTACACAAGCTGCATCAGGTCACGGGAGGCATCACAGGACAATTGGTCCATAGTTCTTCAGAGTCAAGGTCATGAAAGTTCACGAAAGACGAAAGGCTAAGGCTGTCTTGGATGAAAGGAGACCCAAGATGCATGAAACTAAATGCAGTGAGCGGTTCCCGACTGGGTACTAGAATGAGCGGAAGTGCCGTAAAAGACAATATTGGGGAATTTCCTTATGAGCTGTTTATCAGAGGATATTATTGCATCAATGCCAGCTGGCATGGCTCACTGGCTGAGTGCTGATCTATGAAGCAGGAGGTCAGAGTTCCACTCCCAGTCAGATCATCTACCTGGGGTTGTGGGCTTGCAGGAGGCAGCTAATCAATGATTCTCTCCCATCATTGATGTTTCTATCTCTCTCTTCCTCTCGCTGAAAGCAATAAAAATATATTTTAAAAATATATTATTGTATTAATGCTAGATTTCCTGAATTTGACTATTGCACTCTGCTTATATAACATTTTTTTTTTCCATAGGAAATACATGGTGTTCTGGAGTAAAGATGCACCATAGCTCCAACTTACTCTCAAATTATTTAGAAAATTAAGGAAAAAATGTCCATATTCTCTATGGATTATATAATACTCTTTTAGATTTTGTTTATAGAGAAATATAAAGCAAAAGGTTAACCATGGGCAGACCTAGCTCAGGGGTCAGCAATTTTTTTCTGAGAAGAGCCAGAGAAAATAATTTCAGCTTTCAGGGCCAGACAGAATCTGTCAAAACTCTGGCCCCCATAGGAAAAGCTGCCACATGTAAATGGGTGTGGCTGTGTGCCAATAAAACTTTATTTACAAAAACAGCAGAAAGCTGATGGTTTGCTGAACCCTCACCTAGATGAAGGGTAGATAAGACTTCATTGCAATCGTTTTGCAACTTCTGTAGGTTGAAAGTATTTTCAAAATAAAAAGATAAGTGAAGAAAATATGGATTTCCTAACTTTGTGGTCAGAGTGTCGTCTCTAAATATCTCCCATTAAAAGGAATCAGGGCTCCTGGGAGAAATGGCCAAATGCAGGAAAGTATAGGACAAGACAAAAGCATCCCGCTGTGCCAGAGCTATGGCCTCTTAAGACCACAGGGTCATGTCAACAGGACTGAGGAGCCAATGCAAAGAGGTCCCACTGGCCACAGGCCAAGGAGAGGCGGGAAGGATCCTGCCCAAGAGCCCTCAGAGGGGGCGGGGCCCTGCTGCCGCCTGGACCTCACACTTCTGTCCTCCAAAACTGGGAGCATACATTTCTGTTGTTTTAAGCCACTGATCGGCAAACTCATTAGTCACCAGAGCCAAATATCAACAGCACAACGGTTGAAATTTCTTCGGAGAACCAAAATTTAAAAAACTTAAACTTCTTCTAATGCCACTTCTTCAAATTAGACTCGCCCAGGCCGTGGTATTTTGTGGAAGAGCCACACTCAAGGGGCCAAAGAGCCTCCTGTGGCTCGCGAGCCACGGTTTGCTGACCACGGTTTTAAGCCACCCAATCTGTGGCACTTTGCTACAGCAATCCTAGGGAAAATATCTGCCCAGCACTCCTCAAAACTGTCAAGGTCGTCAAAACCAGAAGTCAGAGAAACCATCACAGCCAAAAGGAGCGTCAGAAGATGGGACCATTAAGAGCCACGTGGGGTCCTGGGAGTGGAGAAGGGTGTTAGGGGGAAACTGAGGAAATCTGAATAGAGTATACATTTTAGTTAATAATGTGTCAGTATTGGTTTATTGGTTGTAAAAAAAAAAGATATCATATTAATGTAAGATGCTAACAGTAGGGGTCTTTGGATGCAGTTTTATAAGGCGACTCTCTGTGCGATCCTCATAATTTTTCTGTAAATCTAAGACTATTCTAAAACATAAGGGTTTTTTAAGAAAAAAAAAAAAAAAAGCGGGGGGAGAGGTATTGAATGAATAGAATCTTGGCTGTGTGACCTCCCAAGTGTATGACTTCAGTCAAATGATTCAGTTTCTTGGTGCCTCAGTTTTCTCACCTGTAAAATGGGAGTGACAGGGCTTGTGCCACATGGGACATCCCTGAGGACGGCGGGCCGCCATGATGGAGCCTAAGTAGAGCCGTTATCTTCATCTTCATCAGAGATGGGTAGGAGCTGCTGCTAGAGTTTTGGGCAAATAGCAACATAGGGCAGGCTTCACTGTGCCCCCCTCCAGGAGGCGAGGTTGGACCCCACCTCTTGGCTCAGAGTGTGCGCTCTCCTGGACAGCTATACCGAGCCCAGCACAGGGGGCCGAACAAGTACACCGTTTTCCTTCCCTCTCCAGTTTCTGCCCCACGTGGGACAGGAGACCTGAGGAGGGACTGGGGGGCGGGGGAGAAGCAGGACACCCCTGAGAAACCACAGGTCTCCAGAATGTCATTTCTTTAATGTCCAGCCCACAAGGGGCCCTGCAGAGGAGGGAATAAATACAGGTTCGAAGATGCAGCGCACCCAGCCCCCAGCCTAGGAAAGAGAGGGAGACCTGTCAGCCCCGCTTCCCTCTTCTGCAAACCGTAACGGAACACACTTTGAGCCCTGAGGCTCTTAACACCGTTTTCCGGGGGTCTCTTCCCCCACGAAGGCAGGCCTCAGAGCTACCCAAACCTCCAACCGGGAGATACCACCTCCTGTCCACTAAGGGGCGCCAGAGTCCGCTCCTGGCCTGCAGGACCACTGCCCGATCCCTGAGGGGTGCATCCCCTCCCCCGCCCCCGGGGGTTCCGGGCTTCTGTCCGGGGGCGCAGACCCGGGGCGGGGGTCCTGAGCCTCCCGTCCTCTGCTCTCTCCATCTCCCCTCCACCCGGGACCCCAGATGGCCGCTGCGCCCCTTTGCCGAGGCGTCAGAGGGGGGACCCAGGGGCTGTCCTAGCAGCGGGCGGCTGGCTTTCCGCAGCGACCAGGGGCTCCGGGCTGTCTGCGCGCCGCCGCGCGCGGGTCCGAGCCCGGGGCGGGCCGGGGTCACAGCAGGTTGATCTCGTCCAGGTAGCGGGCCAGCACGGAGTCCCGCACGTCCTTGAAGACCTTGCGGATGTTCTGCGTGTCCGTGGCGCACGTGTAGTGGCTGAAGAGGCGGCGGGAGCGCGAGCCCTTCCGGCCCCCGTCGGCGCTGTCCGCGCAGCCCGCGTACATGCGGCTGTACATGTCCAGGATGAACCGCTGCGCCGCCTCCGCGTCCTGCTTCGGGCCTGGGGGGCGGGAGGAGGGAGGGTCAGGACCCAGGCTCCTGGGGCAGGCGGGGACCCCCTCCTGACACCAAGGCGGGACTCTGGAAACCCTCTTCCCGATGGGGGCAGCTTAGGGCTGCAGGGGCCCCAGCAAGCACCCAACACAGTCCCAGCAGATGGGCGCCCTCTTTGGACTGTCTAGCAGGCCACGTGACCCCAGCCCAGCCATGGGCCGCCTGGGCTTGGTGCGGTCACAGCACCTGGGATGGACCCCATGAGGGACTCGGGTGGGGATTTGTGATGAAGGGGTGCTCTTGGCTGGGCTTGGAGCTGGAGGGATGGGAGCCGGAGCTGCAGAGAACAGAGGCTGGTGCACCCGGGGAAACCGAGGCCAGGAGAAGGGGAGGGATGGCCACCCTGGTGAGGCGCATGGGCGGCTGCACTGAAAGCACAACGTGAGTTAAGGGCCTACAGCCTGGCTCTGCGACTTACTGGTTTGGGTACGAGTTAATAGAGGTAACCTTGGTGAGCCTCAGGTTCCTGGTTTGTAAAATTGGGAAGAGGACTAGCCCCAGGCCTCCGGGAGTGGTGAGGATGCAAAGCAATCATGCCCGGGGCCCGGGCTCAATGATCAGAAAGCCTCCGGGGTGTGCGCTGTCATCCTTTCAGAAAGGCGGGTTGCATAGTGGGTAAAACCTGCCATCTCCGAACCCAGACGGCTGGGCTAGAATCTTGCCTCTGTCACTCACTGGCTGTGTGACTTCCGGCAAGCGACTGTGCCTCCGTTTCCCCAGGAAGGAGTCCTGCTGCACAGGAGTTTTGTAAGAATATTTTTTATTGATTTCAGAGAGGAAGGGAGTGGGAGAGATAGAAACATCAGTGATGAGAAAGAATCATTGATCGGCTGCCTCCTGCACGCGCCCCCCCCCCCCCCAACTGGGGATCAAGCCTGCAAACCCAGGGCCTGTGCCCTTGACCGGAATGGAATCTGGGACCCTTCAGTCTGCAGGCTGATGCTCTACCCACTGGGCCAAACCAGCTAGGGCCGCACGGGGCTTTTTAATGAGGATTAAATAAGTCAATAATACATAAGAGTGCTTCCACCAGTGTCAGATGTGTTCATTGTTGTTGTTCATTATTGTCACGAGTATTTAGTAGCAGGAAAGAAGGGCCAAGAGCCGTAGGCTGAGTACGATGGTGCTGCAGCCTCTGAGGCTGAGGGAAAAGGCTGAGTCGTGGAGTTTCCCTCTGACCTGAGGGAAAGCAAACAATCCTCAAAACTGTCTGCGTCTCAAGCCCTCCGCATGCTGCTCAGCGGGGAGGGCTGAGCGGGTGCCCAGGCCACCGCCCGGGAGTGAGTTGGCCTGCGCTGCCCAGGCTCTGAGTCTGTGGGGATGACTGGCTGAGGCTGGCCACAGGGGCTCTGACAAGGCCAGGGGTCCCTCCCAGAGTGATGTCACCGAAGCTTAGTACACGCAAACCGAGGGCTTCATCGACCACGGCTGATGTGTATTGGCGTGAACAGTGTCCCCTCAAACCCACGTCCACTGTGAACTTCAGAATGTGATTGGATTTGGAAAGAGGGTCTTTGCAGCTGTCAAGAGTTTAAGTTGAAATGAGGTCATACTGAACGAGGTTGGACCCTAAATTCAATGACTTGTGTTCTTATGAAAAGAGGAGAGAGCTGGTTTGGCTCAGTGGGTAGAGCGTCAGCCTGCAGACCCCCTACTGAGGGTCCTGGGTTTGATTCTGGTCAAGGGCACATACCTCGGCTGCAGGCTGCTCCCTGGCCTAGGCCGTGGTCAGGGCTTGTGCAGGCGACAACCAATCTATGTGTTTCACATCGATGTTTCTCTCTGTCTCTCCCTCCCTCTTCCACTCCCTCTAAAAATCAATGGAAAAACGTCCTCGGGGGAAGATTAAGAAAAAAACAAAGAGGAGAGACAACCAGAGACAGAGAAGGTGGTGTGACGATGGAGGGAGAGATTGGAGTGATGCATTATAAGTCACGAAATGCTAAGACTGCAGGCAACCACCAGAACCTAGGAGAGAGACCCAGAATGGTCCTCCCTCAGAGCCTCCTGAAGGAGCTGACCCTGCTCTGCCTCTCACTCGGCTCCAGACGTCCCGCTTCCTGGCATGTGCGGGAATCACGTCTGTTGTTTCCAGTCCCCGGCGGGTGGCCAGTTGCCACAGCAGCCCAAGGAGACAAAGACAGCTCGTCCCCAGGGTGGCTGTCACTGCCTCCTCCCCTCCCTGCAGTCACATGCCGTTTGGCCGCCATAATGCAGGCTGCGCCTCCATCTGAGGCCGGGCTGACCTGGGGGACTTTATTGATCGACAGAACAAGGCGGATGTGACCACCTGGGCCTTCTTAGGCTACGTCATGGGCAGAGGCTTCCACCTGGGCTGACGTCTGGCCATCCTGAGGCAGCCGTGCTGCGAGCTAGCCCTGGATTAGAAGACACCAGATAGGGGGAGGGAGAGGGAGAGAAAGGGATGGAGAGGGGAGAGGGAGAGCAGAGAGAGGAAAAGGAGGACGAGGAGGAGGAGGAGATGGGGGAGGGAGGAAAAGGAGGAAGGAGGAGGTGGAGGGTCACAGAGTCGTCATACACAAGGTGCGAGAAGCCATCTCAGAAGTGCATCTCCAATCCTGGCCACCCCAGCTGAGGCCACATGGACCAAGGGTGGACAACCGCCCAACCTTCCCCAAATTCCTGACCCCCTTGATGGTGAGCTAAGTGAGATGGCTGGAGTAAGCCCCTGACTTTGGGGGGCATTTGCTACTCAGCGGGGATTCTTCTAGCAGCTCCCTCTCCCCTCACAGTGGCCCGGTATCTAGCCAACACACCCCTTCCCTGGTTTCACCAAAACCTGCCGTCCCTGGCAGATACCCTACATGGCGCCAGCGCGTACTGCACCCCGATCTCGTTGGCCGGGGCCCTCTGTGCCTCGGGTTGCACCAAACCTGCTGTGTTCCTCCTGCTCGATAGGCACTTAAGGAGACACTGCACAGACCCATTAGCCACAAGTACAGCCTGCAGGAGGGCTTCTGTAGCCATGAACACTGAGCTACTGTAGGCTTTGGAAAAACTCGCTCCAAGGTCAGTCACAGATTTAAAAACAAAAATGCTATCCAATTAGGTATAGATGAGACAACTATGAAAGTTAGAAAAAGAAAGTCGAAAATCTAAGAAGATTCTGGAAATAGTCGTTGGTGCCCTTTGGGTATGACAATGAACTCCATCCAGCAGACCCTCCCTCACAACATCTATGTGACGTTTGAGAATTCTCTTCTTTAAGCGGTTACCAGTACATCGAGCGTGAAGGCATCTGTTATTTTATCCCCATTCTACAGATGGGAAGACTGAGGACAGAGAAAGGTTGGGCAGTGAAAGCATCTGGGTCTGGAAACTCCACTGACTCCAGGCTGGAGTAGGGCCTGGACGAGCATCTTGCTTGGGAGTTGCTTTTTAAATTATTTTTATTTTTATTTTTAAGGGGGGAGGGAGGTATGGTATAGATACAGAAGGTTCTAGAACTCACCCTGGAAACTGGGGAAGTAGGTGGCCAGGTGGGAGGTGGGGATCTTCTCCTCCAGGATGTCGGTTTTGTTGAGGAAGAGGATGACAGACGTGCTTTTGAACCAGGGCAGTTCCAGGATGGTGCCAAACAGGGCCAGACTCTCCTTCATTCTGTTCTGGGTTGGGGTAACAGGCAGTGCATCCCTCAGATCAGCCAGCCCGGCCTAAACAGGAGCCGCCCTCCCCATGGCGATGAGTCTGAGCAGGTGGGGCTGGCTGCCTATGTGTGCCCAGCATGGTTTTGTGCCTCAACTGGTTTGACTGGTGCCTTCCCCTCCTCTACACCTCCCTCCCCCCTCCCCTCAATTCATGTCCGCCTGGAACTTCAGCCTGTGGCCTTGTTTGGAAGCAGGGTCTGTGATTCACTAGGAGGTCACACTGGAACTGGGCGGCTTTAAGCCTGATGCTGGAGCTTGGACACAGCCTCACGTCCAAGGAGGACGCTCTGTGAAGACGGAGGCAGCGGTGGGTTGATGCATCTACAAGCCAAGGAACGCCAGAGACTGCCGGGTCACAGCGGCTGGGGGGCCGGGACAGAGCTCCCTCCCGGCCGCCCCCGGGAGCTCAGCCTGCTGCCTCCGGAACCGGAGAGAGTCCCTCTCTGTCGTCTCAGCCCCCGGTTTGTGGGCATTTGCTACGGCCGCCCGAGCTGACGAGGACAGGCCACGTGGCGAGAGCTATGTCGGAAGGACCTCAGCCTCCTTCTGTCCGATTCAGTCTGAACGTCAGGATTATAGCATCTCCCTCTCCAGCGCCCAGAGGCCTCGGTGACACGTGAGCCACTGGAAGTGAGCGTGTCAGAGGTGACGTGTGCCCGCCCATTATGCTGGGTGTTAATGGGGAGAAGCGGTCACAGGAGAAGACTGATCCTCACCAGCATTTCGGACTAGAAGTGTGACCCTGCCCAGGTGTGACCACAGTTCCAGGACAGTTTGTGTTGTGCTTCCGGGGGCCACCGTCTCAGGACATGCAGGACATGAATATCCGCGTGTGTGTGTGTGCGTGTGTACGTATGTATGCGTGCGCGCACGAGCATGCACGTGTGTGTGTGGGTGTGGGTGTGTGTAGTGCACACACACGTGCTACATGTGAGTGTTGTTGGCAACACGAGTGCTTGTGAATCTGTCTTGGGGCTCAACGGTCTGAACACCAAAGAGTGGAAAGCGAGGCTCAAAGCCACACCAGACACACACAGGCTGCTGGAGAGTGGCGTGGGGCCCCCTGCCTGGTGGTGGGCCCCTGGGCGAGGGGAGGAGAAGAGCAGAGAAGGTGACGCCCCCGCATCCCCAGGGGCCCCTCACCTCCTGGTTGTTCTCCTCCAGGCACTGGTCGTATTCGCTCAGCGAGGCCAGGTAGATGAGGGCGATCACGTTCTCAAAGCAATGGATCCACTTCTTGCGTTCCGACCTCTGGCCGCCCACGTCAACAATCCTGCCAGAATCGCCCCCTTTCAGAGCTCAGGCTTAACCAGGACCCCACAACGCGGCACCCCCAACCCCAGTCACGTCTGAGACATGCCGAGACCAAGACAACGGGCAGCAAGAATAGTGCCTCGCCCCCGAGCCCACACCTCTTGTGTGTTATTGCATTTCAACCCCCCGCCATTACACCCATTATACAGACGAGGAAACTGAGGTACAGAGAGGAGAGGGGACTTTCCTGAACTTCTATTATACTGAGTTGTTTGATTACTACCCTCATGGGGGAGGCCAGCAGGTCAGACACATCCGGAGTCTGCCCTGGTTCTGGCTGATTGGCCTACTGCAGACGTCTGCACCTCCCCCGTGTTACCATCAGCGAGCGGGGATGCGGTGTTGTGGCTGACCAGGGCCCTGCCCAGTGGCCAACGCCTCCCCTCTGCGTGTGGCCTGAGGCGAGGGCCGGGCCTCCACCCCCACGCTCCGCCTTCCTGTCTCTCTTCTAAGAAATGTGGGTCACTGATAACAGCCTGCGTCATTTCCCCGGGGATGGGATGCGGCCGTTACTCAGGCAGCCGACAGGAAACGCCAGAAGCCTCAGAGCAAGCAGGGACTTGCCCGGCTGCACAGGAGGGGAAAGAGGCAGTGCCTGTGGCTCCGAGCCCCAGAGACCACCCCCTCTCACACATCAGACCCCGCAGGTCCCCATGTCCAGAGTGGGATGTGGGTGCGGCGATTGAGAGTGGGGCTCTGGGGACTGAGTCAGGTGGGGGACACTTCTTGCCATCCTCTCATCCCAGAGTCTTAGTTTCCTCTGCGCCCTCACTCCGATGATTAACCTCTCCTTAGCCTAAGAACATTCTCAAGTCTCCCACCAAAAAATCCCCTCGCAGCCCCGCCTTCCCTGTGAGCATTCCCAACTGCTGCCTTCACTCCTAAACTTTACCCATCCATCCACCCATCTATACATCTATCCACCCACCCACCTATCCAACCTCTACTACATATCCATCCATTCACTGATGTATTCATTTATCTACCCATCTACTCACCCATCCATCCATCCATCCATCCATCCATTAATTCACCTACCGATCCATTCACACATTCATTCATCCACCTATCCATCCAACATCCATTCATCATCCATCCATCCATTCACACATCTATCTATCCATCCATCCATCCATTAATTCACCTACCGATCCATTCACACATTCATTCATCCATCTATCCACCCAACATCCATTCATCATCCATCCATCCACACATCCATCCATCCATCCATCCATCCACATATCCATCCACACATCCATCCATCCCTCCCTCCATCTGCACATTCATCCTTCCATCTTTCTAGCCTTCCTCCCACATTTACCACCTTCCACTGTGATCTGGATCTGATCATACTCTGAAGCAGGAGACTGAAACTCGGCCCCTAACTGTGTGGGACTCTCCGTCTAGTGGGTGAGACCTACAGCGAACAGCTAAATTACGAACCTTCCCGGAAAGGACTATCGCAGAGGCCAGAACAGCATGTTTGGGGTGGGGGCGGGTGGTCCAGGGAAGTGAGAGTCAACACGCGTGGGTTGATCACCACCCCCGTCCCCACGCATCACCCTGCACTCTCCCCCGTCCGTCGTCAGCCCACAGACACAGAGTTTGCTAAGGTCCCTGGTGACGTCTAACGGCCCATCCCAGAAGCCGCTTCTCCTGCTGTGTTCCTCCTGACTCCCCTGGCCTCTGACACCTGCCATCACCCTCCCGACGCCATGTTGCTCCATCCACACCTTGTCTTCCAGCTCAGGCCTGTGGGAGTCCAGTCACCGCCAGGTGCCCTGGACCCCTCAGACTCTGTGCCCCAAGGACTTTATCGTCTTATCGAATACCCCCACCCTGCTGCTGCCACATGGCTCCGCCTCCGACCCTGCCACCTGGATGGGAAAACTCCCTGCTCCAAGTCCCACACTCATCCAGTCCTGCCCCTCCTACATCAGGAACATTTCTTGCACCATCCCCTCATTTCCATCTGCCCTGGCCATGTCTAACCCTCCCTGCCTGGACCACAGCTCCTGCCTCCTCCTGACTCTCTGGACGTCTAGTTTCTCACCCCCTTATTGACCACTTAGAGGAACCAGCCTCTGAGCTTCCCAGTCCACATCCATCCCTCCGGACAGCTCTGACCATACAGTCTCTGTCCTCTCCTGCACAACAGCCCTTCAAGGGTCGGAACTGGTGAACTCCTACTCATCCTTCAATGCCCTAATACCAGTGTCCCCTCCTCCAGGAAGATTTCCCCTCTTGGAGCTCTGGTGCCTCACTCTGGGCTCTTCCAGGTCCTGGTCCTAACTGTAGGGGGTGGGGGTGGGGGTGGGGGGAATCTAGAGGTATCTATGTCCAATTCTGCTTCCTTCAACCTGGAAGCCCCTTGAGGGCTGGGTCTAGGAAACGCCCACTCCTCCCCCAAGGCCCAGCTGCTTTGCCCCTCCTCCGGGAAGCACGCCCGGCCCGGCAGGCCCGCCCCGCCCCGCACTCACCGCAGGTTGGTTTTCTGCACGGAGAAGCAGTACTCGTTGATGCCGGTGGTGGGCATGCGGCTGCGCAGCACGTCCTGGGCGGTGGGGATGTAGCCCTCCTCCGTGATGCGCTCCAGGTGCGTCAGGTAGCTGGGGAGCACGGAGCCCTGAGCCCGGCCCTGCAGGCTTCTGTGGCTTCTCAGACCCACCCCCCAGCGCCCAGGGAGGACCCAAGAAGGGCCAGGAGCTCCGGGGTCTGCAGGCGGCCCAGGAGCACCAGCCAGAGGCCCTGGAAGCCCTGGGGAAGCCGCATCACCCCGAGGATGATGTGACCTCAGGAGCAGCAGCACCGCCCTAACCGGTGTGGCTCAGTGGATAGAGCGTCGACCTGCGGACCGAAGGGTCCCAGGTTCGATTCCAATCAGGGGCATGTACCTTAGCTGCGGGCACATCCCCAGTAGGGAGTGTGCAGGAGGCAGCTGATTGATGTCTCATCGATGTTTCTTATTCTCTATCCCTCTCCCTTCCTCTCTGTAAAAAAATCAATGAAATATATTTAAAAAAAAGAAGAAAAAAAAAAGAATAGCTGCACTGCAGAGGGGTGTCACCTTGGGGGCTGTCACCAGGAGCGGCCTGGTCCCCAAAACAGTGATGGCCTGGGAGCAGACCACCCTGGGCACCCAGCACCGTGCCAGGACAGCGTCACCTCGTGATAACGATCAGTGCCACCCGGAAACGGCGTCACCTGGGGCAGATTCTCCCTAGGAGCTGTGTCACCCCACAAGTGACATCACCCCCCAAAACAGGGTCACTCCAGGGACAATGTCACCCCAGGGACAATGTCAACCATCCCAGGGCCAGCTGATGCCCAACAGCCAGTCCCCAGGCGGGGAGTCGGCCACGGGGACCCCCTCTGCACAGGTGCAATCCTGGCCGGGGTCTCTGCTGGCTGCATTTCAAGCCTGCAGCTGTGCCAGGCTCCCCCGCCCCCCGCCGTGACCCCGGACTCACTACACCGCAACGGCCGAGTCCAGCAGGTGGAACCCGCCCCGCCTCCGCCCCCCGCCCCCCCCGCCCCCCGCCGTGACCCCGGACTCACTACACCGCCGAGTCCAGCAGGTGGAACCCGCCCCGCCTCCGCCCCCCGCCCCCGCCCCCCGCCGTGACCCCGGACTCACTACACCGCCGAGTCCAGCAGGTGGAACTCGCGCCGCCGCTCGTAGCAGGCCCGGATGCCGCCGTCGTTCCACAGCCACTGCATGGCCACCGCGAAGCGCTTCTCGAAGGTGGTCACCTTGTAGGGGTCCTGGCTCATGACCAGGCTGGCGTGGCTCTGGAGGGAAGGCCGGGGCCGGTCAGCGCAGCCCCCTGGCCTCCCGGCAAGGCCCTTCCCCTCCTGTCCCGCTGCCCCTCCTTCCTTCCACGCACACCCTGCGCATGCCACCGCCTCTGACTCCCCTCGTGCGCTCCGTCACGCGTTTACCCTCGGAGGGGGCGTGGAGGCAAAGAGCCTGCCCCGGACCGGGCAGCAGAGAGGCGAGCTCCAGAGGACCATGGCCCACGCGCACCGAGGCCTCCGGGCGGCGGGGCATCCCTTTCTCACACGCGTTGGTTTCTTGACTCCCAGGAGACAAGTCCCCATGATGTCCCCCAGGTCACAGGTCAGGCTACTGAGGCATCAGAAGCAACGTGCCCAGGTCTCACACTGAGGCAGGGCGCATGGCAGCCCCAGGGGTGTGGACCCGGTAAGGCCTGGGGATTTGAGAATAAGCCCTGAATCCGATCAATTAGACCAGTGGTTGGCAAACTCATGAGTCAACAGAGCCAAATATCAACAGTACAGCGATTGAAATTCCTTTCGAGAGCCGAATTTTTTATTTTTTATTTATTTATTTATTTATTTATTTAATATATTTTATTGATTTTGTACAGAGAGGAAGGGAGAGAGATAGTTAGAAACATCGATGAGAGAGAGTCATAGATCAGCTGCCTCTTGCACACCCCCTACTGGGGATGTGCCCGCAACCAAGGTACATGCCCTTGACCGGAATCGAACCCGGGGCCCTTCAGTCCCCAAGCTGACGCTCTATCCATTCAGCCAAACCGGTCCCGGTGAGAGCCAAATTTTTTAAACTTAAACTACTGTATATAGGTAGGTATGTTGTTATTAATTAGGGTACGTGGTATTTTGTGGAAGAGCCACACTCAAGGGGCCAAAGAGCCACAGGTGGCTCACGAGCCGCAGTCTGCTGACCACTGAATTAGACGGTTCGCGGCCTGTTATGGCTGGGTTTTGTCCACCACCCATGTCCTCCTCACATTCGTAAGTTTAAGCTCTAACCTGGAGGACCTCAGAACGTGAATGTTTCTGCAGATGGGGGTCTTTACAGAGGTGATCCAGTTAAAACGAGGCCGTTAGTGTGGGTCCTGATCTGCCATAGGACTGGTGTCCTCACAGGAAAAGAATAAGGACAGCTCGTGAGGACACGGAGAGAAGCCATCTGCCAGCCAAGGAGAGAAGCCTTAGGAGAAACGAGCCCCGCGACACCTTGGTCTCAGACGTCCAGCCTCCACAATTGCGAGAAGACAAGGTCCGTGGCCTAAGCTCCCCATTTTTACTGTGGCACTCTGTTACGGCAGCCTGTGCAAACTAAGACACAGCCTGGGACAATATTAACTTCAAAGTTAAAAAAAATGATTAAGAATTTCAAAAGTAAAAATGAAGAGACACGTCCTTCTAAAAATTCAGAGTAAAATTTGTATTCAGTGAAGGTCCTGAATAGTCCTTAATGTGCTTTGCGGGAAGTGAATATGGGTCCTTCACTCTTAAAACACAGGAGCCTGGGAATGAGACAATGGTGCCCACTCACGCCATTTCTAATGAACACATGAAAAAAATGAATAAAAAATCGGGTTTGGAAAGGAAGAAATCACACTGTGGTTATGCACAGATGACATGACTATATGTAGAAAATCCAAAATAGTCTGTAGATAAACTATTAGAATAAACAAGTAAACTTAATAGCGTCCCCAGATGAAAGATTAATAAATGAAAATAAGATATGTGTCTATATACTAACCACTAGCTAGTAGTAAAAATTTAAATCACATTTATAGTAGCATCAAGAAATAGCAAATACCTAGAAATAATTGAACAATAGATGTGAAAGTAAGAAAGTGCTTATATCCAGAATATACAAAGAATTTGCTATAAGGCAGTAAAGAAAAAAACAAGGAACTGTATTTTTTTTAAAGTGGAAAAAAAAAAATAGGCCAAAGATTTGAACAGTTGCTTCACAAAAAAGAATACCCAAGTGTCCAACAAACATATGAAAAAGTACACATGCTCATTACTAGTCAGAGCAATGGAAATCAAAACCACAATCAGGCCAGCGGGCGTGGCTCAGTGGTTAGGCATCAACCTATGCACCAGGAGGTCATGGTTGGATTCCTGGTCAGGCCACAAGCTTGTGTTGCAGGCTCCGATTCGCAGCATGGGGCATGCCAGAGGCAGCCGATCTATGATTCTCTCTCCTCATAGACGTTTCTATCTCTTTCTCCCTTCCTCTCTGAAACCAATAAAAACATATTTAAAACAAAAACAAAAACCGCCGGGACTGGTTTGGCTCAATGGATAGAGCGTCGGCTTGGGGACTGAAGGGCCCCGGGTTCGATTCTGGTCAAGGGCATGTACCGTGGTTGCGGGCATATCCCCTGTAGGGGGTGTGCAAGAGGCAGCTGATCGATGACTCTCTCATTGATGTTTCTAACTCTCTATCTCTCTCCCTTCCTCTGTACAAAAATCAATAAAATATATTTTAAAAAAAACAACACAATGAAATGCCACCAAGCACCCACCGGAATGGCTTAAATGAAGTGACAGACAGTATCAAGTGTGGTGAGGACTGGGAGCACCGGGGCTCTGCTGGTGGGTGTGTGAATTGCTACAATTACTTGGAAAACAGTGTCTTCTACATGTTGCTTCTAAGTAGATACCCAGCAGGAATATGCAAATGACCCAAATGTCACCAACATTAGGTTGGACAAATAAATTGACCTTGGCCCCCAAAAGATAAGTGAATCACAGACATACGGCACCAGAAGCCAGACGTGAAAGATCATTCCAGAAAATTCGAGAATTTAAAAAATAGGCAACTCATATATGGCGATGAAAGATGAGACCATAGTTATCCTGAGGGGGAGCCTCTGACTCGTCTATAAAATGGGGTACTCGCTGAAAGGGGTTATTGTGAGGATTCAGTCATCTTATCACCCACTATCACCACCGAGCCCATTCTACAGTCCAGGCACAGTTTTGAGAGCTTTTGCATGTTTATCACATTCTTACATCAGCCCCAGTCCCTCTTCCAAAGTCCCTGGACCACCTCCTACTCACAAACCAGGTGCTTTCAGGCTTAGAAAGGTGATGTGCCCTGTGAGCAAGGCCATGATGAAGACCAAACACACTGAGAACAGCAGGTGCTGGTGAGGATGTGGGGGGATGGGCACCCTGTGCAGTGTGGTGGGAATGCAGAATGGTGTGGCCACTATGGAAAACAGTATGGAGGCTCCTCAACAATTTAAAAATAGAATCACCATACGATCCAGCAATTCTACTTCTCAGCGTTTATCAAAAAAAAAAAAAAAATGGAAAGCAGATCTCGAAAAGATATGAGCATTCCCGTGTTCATTGCAGCACCATTCTCAATAGCCAAAATGTAGAGAGGAAAAAACACAGGTGAATGGATAAGAACATGTAGTCCATACGTGGAATAGCATTCAGTCTTTAAAAAGAAGGACATTTTTGCCCTAGCTGGTTTAGCTCAGTGGATAGAGGGTCCCGGGTTCCATTCCGGTCAAGGGCACACGCCTGGGTTGCAGGCTTGACCCCCAGTAGGAGGCGTGCAGGAGGCAGCAGATCAATAATTCTCATCATTGATGTTTCTATCTCTCTATCTGTTTCCCTTCCTCTCTGAAATCAATAAAACTATATATTTTTTTTAAAATATATTTTTATTGATTTTTTACAGAGAGGAAGAGAGAGGGATAGAGAGTTAGAAACATCGATGAGAGAGAGTTATCAATAAGCTGCTTCTTGCACACTTCCTACTGGGGAAGTGCCCCCAACCAAGGCACATGCCCTTGACCGGAATCGAACCCGGGACCTTTCAGTCCGCAGGCCAATGCTTTATTCACTGAGCCAAACCGGTTTCGGCAAAACTATATATATATATTTTTAAGAATATTTTTGTAAATTATATGGTTATCTAACTACTATTCTGTATATCTAAAACTAATACAAAATAATATTGAATGTAAACTGTGATTGAAAAGTAAAATAAAAGCCTGTGGCTCAGTGGTTGAGCATTAACCTATGAACCAGGAGGTTATGGTTTGATTCACAGTCAGGGCTCGGGTCCCCAGTAGAGAGTGTGCAAGAGGCAGCCCATCAGTGATTCTCTCTCGTCGTTGATGTTTCTCTCTCTCCCCCTCCTAGCTGAAATCAGTAAAAATATTTTTAAAGCCAAAACTGGGTTGGTTCAGTGGATAGAGCATCAGCCTGTGGACTGAAAGGTCCCAGGTTTGATTCAGGTCAAGGGCATGTACCTTGGTTGGGGGCACTTCCCCCGTGGGAGGTGTGCAGGAGGCAGCTGATCGATGTTTCTCTCTCATTGATGTTTCTAGCTCTCTATCCTTCTCTCTTCCTCTCGGTAAAAGAATAAAATATATTTTTTTAAGAAGTATATTTTTTTAAATAAAATAAAAATAAGGAAATTCTACAATAGGTATCAATGTGGATAAACTTTGAGGACCTCATGTTAAGTGAGGTAAGCCAGTCATAAAAGAAAAATACTACACAACCCCAATACAGGAGGCATCCAGAATAGGCCGGCTCAGGAGAACAGAGGAGAAGGGCTTCGGAGGGCCAGGTGGAGTTGCTATTGGGTAGGATGGCAAGGCAGAGTTCCCCCGGGCAGGTGGATAGTTCCAGCCCTCTGCAGCCCATCCTTCCTCCCGGTGACACGGAACCGTGCACTTAAAATGTGAGAGGGTGGATCTCATGTTGAGTGCTCTTTCCACAATGAAATAATGTGCATGTTCTTAAAGGGTGATGTGGCCCTGACCGGTTTGGCTCACTGGATAGAGCGTCGGCCTGCGGACTGAAGTGTCCTGGGTTCGATTCCGGTCAAGGACATGTACCTTGGTTGTGGGCACATCCCCAGGAGGGGGTGTGCAGGAGGCAGCTGATCACTGTTTCTCTCTCATTGATATTTCTAGCTCTCTATCCCTCTCCCTACCTCTCTGTAAAAAATAAAATATATTTTTAAAAAATAAAGTAAAAAATAAAAAGTGTTGTGATGCATGGATTGCACAGCAGCCTTTCCCCACAGTCACCAGGCCTCTGTACGAACATTTCCACGGGGAGCAGGCATTGGATGGCGCTCCGGAAATGCATGGGGACACGTGGCGGGAGGTGGCGAGGCAGGATCTCCAGAACCCCTGGAGGGGGCATGGTTAACCAGGACGGGGGGGCGGGGGTCCTGGGGACCTGCCCCTCCCCCCACCCACCCCGCGTGGCACCCACGGCACCCACCTTGCTCTCGGGCCTGCTGAAGGGGATCTGCAGCTGCTCCATGGCCTGGATCATGGCCCGCATGGACGCGAAGATGTTCTGGTAGACCAGCGGCCGGAAGCCCTTGCGGTCCTCCTCCGAGAAGCCGGCGCCGTGGATGATGCGCATCTGCTTGATGAACGTGCTCTTCCCGCTCTCGCCGGGGCCTGTGGGTGCGACCACCGCTCAGTCCCCACCCGCCTTCCCACCCCGGGCCGGGCCACACTGTGCCCTCGGTGAGCGGGCCCGCCCTCTGCCCGTCTCCCACCTGCACCCCGCGGATCCCACCCGCACCCCGCGGATCCCACCCGCACCCCGCGGATCCCTCCCGCTCCCCTCGGATCCCTCCCGCACTCCGCGGATCCCTCCCGCACCCCTCGGATCCCACCCGCACTCCGCGGATCCCTCCCGCACCCGCGGATCCCTCCCGCACCCCGCGGATCCCTCCCGCACCCCGCGGATCCCTCCCGCACCCCGCGGATCCCTCCCGCACCCCGCGGATCCCACCCGCACCCCTCGGATCCCTCCCGCACCCCGCGGATCCCACCCGCACCCCGCGGATCCCACCCGCACCCCGCGGATCCCACCCGCACCCCGCGGATCCCTCCCGCACCCTGCGGATCCCACCCGCACCCCGCGGATCCCTCCCGCACCCCTCGGATCCCACCCGCTCCCCGCGGATCCCTCCCGCTCCCCGCGGATCCCACCCGCACCCCGCGGATCCCTCCCGCACCCCGCGGATCCCTCCCGCTCCCCGCGGATCCCACCCGCACTCCGCGGATCCCTCCCGCACCCCTCGGATCCCACCCGCACCCCGCGGATCCCACCCGCTCCCCGCGGATCCCTCCCGCTCCCCGCGGATCCCACCCGCTCCCCGCGGATCCCTCCCGCTCCCCGCGGATCCCACCCGCTCCCCGCGGATCCCTCCCGCTCCCCGCGGATCCCTCCCGCACCCCTCGGATCCCACCCGCACCCCGCGGATCCCTCCCGCACCCCGCGGATCCCACCCGCTCCCCGCGGATCCCACCCGCACCCCGCGGATCCCACCCGCACCCCGCGGATCCCACCCGCATCCCGCGGATCCCACCCGCACCCTGCGGATCCCACAGGCCCTGTCCTCCCCTCTCATGTGAGCTCAGGGTCAGGGGGGTCCGCCAGCTGCGGCCCCCCGGCCACATCCAGACCCAGCCTGTTTGTGCACAGCTGGCGAGTTTTTACAGTTTGTGTTTTTTTCTGTTTTTGATACTTTTTCTGTGTGTGAGATTTTTTTACAGAGAGGAGGGGAGAGGGATAGAGAGTTAGAAACATCAATGAGAGAGAATCATCGACCAGCTGCCTCCTGCACACCCCCTACTGAGGATGTGTCCTCAACCCATGTACATGCCCTTGACCGGAATCGAACCTGGGACCTTTCAGTCCACAGACCCATGCTCTATCCATTGAGCCAAACCGGTTTCAGCTGTTTTTGATACTTTTTATGATTCTGGCTTTTGCCTTGAAAGGAATCAAAAAATTGTTTCCTTTCATGTGGAAATTATATGAAATTCAGGTTTCGGTGTCTACCAATAAAGTTTTATTGGCACACGACCACACCCATTTGTGTTGGAATAGTCTCTGGCTGTTTTCTCCCTATAGACCACAGACAGCGAGGAGGCCCTGTGTGGCTGGAGGGGAGGGGAGGGAGGAGGTGACAGGGGGAGGGACGGGGCAGGCCATGCAGGGCCTTGAGGGAGGTGGGAGCCCCCGAGGGCTGTGGACAGGGGGGTGGGACATGATTCAGGTGCTCTGATGGCTGCTGTGGGGGAGGACAGACTGGGGGTACCAGGGCAGAGAGGCACTGTGATGGGGTGGATCCAGGAGCTGGTGAGAAGGGGACATATTCGTGAGATATTTAGGAGACGTTATCAACAGTCCTAGCCTTGCTGATGAACCAAGATGGGGAGAGGGGCCTTGCAGGGCCAGCTGGAGAACCGACAGGGCCAAGTGCAAGATGGAAGCCAGAGGAGCCTTCTGAGTGAGGCCCTGGGGCACTGCCCAGGCTGTGACACACAAAGCCGGCCCTGGGTTTGTGATACCCATTCTGGAATCCTCAAGGGCCCCGGACCAAAACCTCCAAGACCAAGGCTCAGCTCCCTGCTGCCTGAGCTCCAGATCGCCCTCGCTCTCCGTGCCTCTGTTTTCGGTCTGTGAAATGGGTGTGATATCCAGGCAAGAGGTGCAAGCCTGGGAGGCTCCTCCAATATCTGGCCAACCTGCCTGGCTCCTGGGGGCACAGGTGTGGGGGCTTTCCAGGGGCTAAAGGGGGGATGGCAGCAGGAGGAACTGGAAAAGCAGTAAAAAGGGAAGGGGTGGCCTGGTGGAGCCAAGAAAGAGGAAATGGGAGTGGGGAGGGGGGGCAGGGAGGAGAGTGGAGAGTGCGGGAGGAGAGGAGGAGGAGGAGGGGGAGGAGGAGGAGGGGGATGCCTTGCACCAGCCCCCAGGGGTGTCCTGTCCCTCCCACCCCGCACATCTGGGGGGTGACGAGGCAGGTCTGAGGTGGCACCAGGCGCTGTCAGCCCACTGGAATCGAGGTCTGAGGAAAAGGGCCGCAGCTGTGTTGGCATGTAGGACATTGTGGGGAAAGTGGGGAGGCTGGGCGTGGTGAGCCAGGGGTGCCCGCTGACAGCATTGCCCTATGCTACCCACAGCTTTTGTTCGTGGACCTGGGGCGTCTTTGTTTTGCAGTGAGACTCAAATCCTCTGGAGACTTTAGGGGCAAAAAGGCTCCAGGTCTGCAAGTCACACACAGTTCAGAAAAAATGACTAGGTATCTATTAAGTATAAAGAAATGACAGCTGTATCCATGCATTCAATAAATTGTATGTGTACCTACACTTACATGTAGCACATACGTGTGCATATATTCGGGGGAGAAGAATACAGGAAACGTGGTCACATGTTAACATTTACAGTCCTGGCCAGCTAGCTCCGTTGGTTGGAGCATCACCAGGATGGACCAAGGTTGCAGGTTCAATCCCCCGTCAGGCCACATACAAGAAGCAAACCAATGAATGCATAAGTGGAACAACAAATTGATGTTTCTCTGTCTTCCCTTCCGCTCTCTCTCTAAAATCAATACAATTAAAAAGAAAAAAAAAAATTGTAGAAGAAGCCAGGTACAACTGTTCTAGAAATCGGAACACATTTTAAAACAAGCTAAGAAGGAAAAAAAAAGGTGTTGCGTCTCTAACCGGTTTGGCTCAGTGGATAGAGCGTTGGCCTGTGGACTGAAGGGTCCCAGGTTTGACTCTGGTCAGGAACATGTACCTTGGTTGCGGGCACCTCCCCAATAGGGGGTGTTCAGGAGGCAGCTGATGGATGTTTCTAGCTCTCTATTCCTCTCCCTTCCTCTTTGTAAAAAATCAATAATATATATATATATATATATATATATATATATATATATATATATATATTATTTTTAAATGGCGCTGCGGATGGATAAGAGCTGAGCGTGAGGGGAAGCTGCTTAGGAGCAGAGGGCACCTCCGTGTACTATCTTCACAACTTTCCTGTAATCTAAAATTATTCCCAAGTAAAAAGTTTTCTTAAAAACACACACACAAACACACACTAAAGCCCCTCACAGGTCCCGCCGTCCCTATCTGAAGCTCTCCCCGGTGGGGCCATGTGTCTCAGAAGCTGGAATTCCTTGAACTGTAAGAAGAGGACATGTCAAGCTCGCTAAAAATTCCGGAAGTGAAACATCCGGACGCCGAAGTCAGCGACAGAAACCCCAGCCTCCTTCCCACTGAGAAGCCAGGTTCGGCCTCGGAATGGCAGCAGTGGCTGAGCCCTGAGAGCTGAGGGCATGAAGCACCATCTCCCCGGAGCCTTTCTTTGCTGTTAATCCTCACCTGAGGACATTTTCCCCTTAGGTTTGTAGAGAGAGTGGGAAGAAAAGAGGGAGGGGGAGAAAGAGAGAGAGAAAGAGAGAGAGAGAGAGAAACATTGATTTAAGACAGACACCTCAATTGGTGGCCTCCCACAGACACTCCTGATCTGGGATCAAATTTGCAACACAGGTCCATGCCCTTGACCGGGACGCGAACCCTCAAACCTTTGGTATGTGGGTGAGTGCTCTAACCATTGAGCACACTGGCCATGGGTTGACCCCAAGGTAGGGAAGCTGAATCCCAGATGTGCTGAGGGGACTGCCTTGGGTCAAACGCAGTTCTGTCTGAGTCCAGCGCCTTTGTTCTCCCCATCTGGGGTTGCAGACAGAGCTGGCTTCCCTGGGCTTCCCGATGATCACACCGGAAGCTCCAAACGCGCTGCCTACATGAAGACAATCACCACCACCACCACCGCCGGCATCCTCTTCATCGTCCCCGTGAGAGGACGTCACTCTCGGCATCCGCCAGGCCAGGGCAGGGCACTCTGCTGTCCTCGGTCAGTCCTCGCGAGGTTCCTGCTGTTTCTCCGTTCACAGAGGAGCCGGGGGCTCAGAGAGGGCGCCTGCCTCTCCCAGGGCCACACAGCTCTCGGGGAAGCGGAGGACGAGACGTGGCCAGCCCGGAGGTCAGGCGCCACCCACAGACCCGACAGCGCCGCCTTTCCACAGCCGCTCACACCGGGCGGCCCTCGGGGGCTGCCGGACGGGGAGGGCCTGAGGCCGGGCCTGCAGCCTCTGGCCTCTCGGCCGCCTTCCGGCTCTCAGGCCTCGGGCCTCCGCTCACAGCACAGAGAACCGAGGTCTCCAGAAACAACCGTCACCAAGACTGCAACGCACTGATTTCTTTCTTCCTTCCCATCTCTTCTGTGTCATTAAAGGAAAAAAAGTCTGGTCTCCACCCACAACATGGATGCTGTGACTCATGGGTGGATCACAACCTGAATTCCGCAGAACTCCACGGCCGGAGCCCTCCTGGCGGCAGTGCCGGTCCTGAGCCACGAAGGGCCTGGAAGGTCTCCAGCCCCGGCTCCTGGTCGGCCTCAGGAAACCCCCACGTGGGGCCGGGGGTGTGGGGGCCGCTGCATCCACCTGGCTGGGCCTCGCGGCCCAGACGGGAAGTGGGACTTCCTCCTGGGATGGAGGAGGAAGTGGAACCCAGCCGATGTCCGGGGACTGGGCCCCGCTCCAGGGCATCACGAGGCGGCATGTGGCTCCCCTCAGAGGGACGGCAGTCCCAGGCTCCCCCGCCCTGGGAAAGGGGGCTCCTGGGGCTGCAGGAGCCAGTCTGGGCGGCAGGGAGTGGCGGGCAGGTGGCTCAGCTTCCACGTTCGGCTCTGGCTCAGACTGGTCACGTCCCTGGCCTCGGTGTCCCTGTCTGTCCCTGGGATCTGTGGCTTTGCTCTCCTGAGGCACATGCCCAGGACAGACAGACACTGGGGATTGGAACGGGAATTCCAGGTTCTGATCCCGGCTGTGTGACCTTGGGCAAGTCCCTTCCCCTCTCTGGCTTTGGTTCCCCCATCTGGGGCTATGGACAGAGCTGGCTTCCTTCTGACTGCTCCCCTCCCCAGCATGGCGATCGCTTCCTGTCCTGGACAAGCAATCTTCCCCTCCCACCTTCTAGCTCCGTGGCCTTCATCCTCAAAAGGATCAGCCAGCCTTCAGGAAAAAAATAACTTTTTCAAAAAGGGAGGGCGGGGTGGCGGTGGCCTCAGGGCAGGGATGGGGTGGTCGAAGCCAGCCCACAGGGCTGTCCCAGGGCCCCCATCAGTGCTGGGGACACACACAGCCTCCGCGCGCCGCCCCTGCCCCACACCAGCAGAGGGGGCGGCCTGACCTGGGGCTGGCTGTGCAGTGGTCAGCGTGGTGCTGGGCAAGGGACCTTCCCAACTCCAGGAAGAAGTGGTACAGCCCTGGGGAAAACTGCCCCTGAGTCAGGATTGACTGACTCATTCATCCAGTGGTTCGCGTGTTTAGAAAGCATGCACTGGGCATCTCCTCTCTGTCAGGTTCCTGTCCTTCTGGGCTGGCTGCTGGGGGTACAGGAGTGAATAAGACAGACATGGTCCCCACTCTTGTACTGTTTGCTCTATACCTGGAGAAATCAAATATCCTCAGTTGAGGATTAACAAACAAACAAACAAAAGGAAACGCTGAAGAGGGTCAGTGAGTGAAAGCCAAGCCGAGGACAGAGGGGCCGGGCCTGTCTTTGCAGCCACAGCACTCCGGGAACACCTCTCGGAGGAGCAGGAGTTGAGCTGGGACCGTCCCTGAGTGAGAATGCCAGCCGTGCAAAGGCTCAGGGGACCCCGAGAACTCCGGGCAGGGAGCACTGCAAGAGCGAAGGTCCTGGGGTTCAGGTAAATGAACTTGGAATGCACCAGGAAAGATCACGGCCATTGGTAAAGCCCTGGACGTGAAAAAGGGACTAAGAACAAAGAATCAAAGACGGGCCCTCGCCAGTTTGGCTCAGTAGACAGAGCGTCGGCCTGCGGACGGAAGGGTCCCAGGTTCTATTCCGGGGAAGGGCACGCACCTCAGGGGCACGCTCAGTCCCCTGCCCTGGTTGGGGTGTGTGCAGGGGGCAAGCACTCTAGGTGTCTCTCTCCGATGTTTCTCTCTCTGGATCTCTCCCTCGCGTCCACTCTTTGTAAAAAAATAAATGGAGAAATATCTTCACATGAGGATTAACAAACAAAAGAAGGAAAGGAGGGCAGCATGTCGGAGCCTACACACACAGAAAGGATGACACGGGAACGTTATAAACCATGCTATGCCCACACATCAAACCATTTTAAAGACATCAACGAGTTCTTTGGAAGACACCAATAACCAAAGCCTACTCAAGAACAGATAGCTTCAATAGCCCTATCTATTAGAAATAATAAATAATATATTAATATTCCACCTCTGTTCTTAATACAATGGCAGCCTACCTATGAAGGAAATAAAATAGAAATCGCTACTAAAGCAATTACATTCTTGACAACTAAAAACGTTTTAGACTCAGACAGCTCAGGGATGATTCTGCCAAACGTTTAAGGAAAACAGAAACTATTCCGCGGAGAGTAAAGACGCCAGGTGGCTGCAGCTGCCATGTTGTGGCCAGTAGGCAGAGCTAGGGCGGGAGAGGCCAAGGGCGGCCCGGGTGTGAGTTCTATGCCGTGTGAGGCCTTCCTGGAGAATGAATGGGGCGTAGGGGGGCGAGGGGGGGGGGCGGGGGTGGTAACCAGTTGAGCCAGAGAGAGCACTGTGAGACGGGGAAGGCCCTCAGTTAAGGTGTCGTTCTTAGGGGTCCGGTGCTCCCCGCCCTCTCCTCTCTCCAGTCCTGGGGCCTCCCACGGCGCCAGGGAAGACAGGTGAGCACAGCCTCTCAGCCCTGGGCCAGGCAGCCGTGACCCGGGACCTTCCCCAGCCCCCACCCAGCGTCCAGGGGGCCTGGGGGACCCTCCATGGCCGCCTCCCTGGGGCCAGACACAGGGCAAAAGTAAGGTGACCAGACGTCCCGATTTCTAACAATTTGTCCCTCGTCCTGTGGGATTTTTGGCCAAAAATCGGGACTTTTTTATTTTTATTTTATTTTTTTTAATGTATTTCTTTAATGACTTCAGAGAGAAAAGGAGAGGGATAGAGAGATAGAAACATCAATGATGAGAGAGAATCGTGAATCGGCTGCCGCCCGCACGCCTCCCTGTGGGGATCGAGCCCACAACCCGGGCATGTGCCTTTGGCCGGAATCGAACCTGGGGCCTTCCAGTCCGCAGGCCGGTGCTCTATCCACTGAGCAACACCGGCTAGGGCAGAAAAAATCGGGACTTTTTTACAAAATGCCGCGGGACGCAGGACATTGTTAGAAATCGGGGCTGTCCCGCCAAAAGCGGGACGTCTGGTCGCCTCAGGCAAAGGGGTCCGGGGAGCGGGCACCACCAGACTCGGGGTGTCAGCGGTCACAATCCACCACCTTTCCCCGTCACCCCTTCTCCCACGTCTGGCTTCATCCTCCTCCGTCCTCCTGCTGCTGGGCACTGTTTTATCTGCTTCTCCGTGTGGGCTCATGCCTGTCTCCCTCTCCCGGAGGCGAGGCCCACGGAGGCAGGGACCACCCCATGTCTCTGGCTGCAGGTCTCCAGGAGCCACTGAACGTGCTGCGATCCTGCGGATGAGCCAGCCAACCCGTCCCAACGAGGTGTCAACGCTCTGCCCACAAAAGTCATGTAGGAAACCTGCAGAGCCGGGCCAGCCCTCCCCGCGGGTGGTGTGGCCCAGAGAGGGGGGCTGGGGGGCTGGGGGGGGAGCGGAGACAGAGGGAGAGGCCAGGGCTCCCCGCCCGGGCGGGCACAGGCCTGAGCACAGGGCTCCCTTCCCGTGGCCCCGGCCCGGAGCCGGGAGGGCGTGCTGGGCCTGCCAGGCTGGGCCCGGCCCCACCAGGCCGTCCAGGGGCCGCCTTCGTTCTCGCAGACACCCCGCAGGATGGTGGGGTCCATGTTCGGACCAGGCACTGGGGCTCCCTGTGCCTCAGTGTTCCCACCTGGCAAACGGGCTCCCAGGTCCTCCCCGCCCGCCCGCCGGCCGGGCCCTGGCCTCACCCAGCAGCAGCAGCTTCAGCTCCCCGCGGTCCCGCTTCTTCTGCTCCAGGAGGATCTTGTTGATCTCCTGGTCGATCCGGGCGGCTGTCTTCTCATCCTCCGTCAGGCACCAGGGGCAGCAGTGCCAGGCCAGCGACCGGGCCATGGTGCGGGGCCTCAGAAGGCGCAAGGCAGCATGGCCCCGGCCCCCTGGGGGAGGGTGCCCCCACCCCGACGGCTGCAGGAAGGGCTCCCGGCAGGCACCCGTGAAGCGGCTGCCCTCTTCTTGGGGGTCACCCCCTGGGGGCCCCCGGCTTCCTGGCCTCAGGCCCCCAGGCAGCCCAGCTCGGAGAGGCCTGAGTGCCAGCACAGGGCGGTGGGGGAGGAGGAGGAGCAGGAGCAGGGGTGCGGAGGCTCAGGGCTCCCCGCCCATCCCCAGACCTGCCCGGCCCGGCCTAACAGGTTGGCTGTGGCAGCCAGGAGAAGGGGGTGCCCCTGGGGGGGGCAGGGCGGCTCGGGGAAGGGCTCCCCGCAGTCTGGGTCCCAGCAGTTGTCTGGGCCCTCCTTCCTCATTCTGGAGAAGGGGTGGCCTCCATCCTTCCTGGGCCCCTGGCCCCGCCCAGCCTCCCCGCAGGCCCGGCCCCGCAGCCCGCTCTGGGCCAATGGGGAGCCGGCCTCTGGGCGGCCGGGCAGGGCGGCACCCGCTGTGTGAGGCGCTGGCCTGTGCAGGCGCCCAGAGTCACGGGCAGAGTACCAGGTGCACCGGCTAATCACTCGGATTTTGTAATCACAGAAAACACGACCATTTCAAGAGAAACCTCAAAAGCGCTTTATGCAAAGTAATGTCCATCGCTAGCTACACATTCCCCCATCCTCCAGGTAATCTGTGGATACCGTCCCAAAAAAACTTTTCTTGTTTTGGGGCAAACCATTCAGAGACCCAGTTTTCCACTTCTTGGTACGTTTTGAAGTGCTGCTCAGAAAGTGCGTGTGCCATCGATCGGAACAAGTGGTCATCTGAAGGAGCGAGGTCTGGTGAACACGGAGGCTGGGTTCATACTTCCCAGGCAAGATCTCTTAGCGTGTCTTTAACTGGTTTTGAAGTGTGTGATGGTGCGTCATCAGGAAGCAAACTTATTTTGCTGTGTCTTCTGGCACATTCCGGTCGTTTCACGATCACAGCGTGGTTCAAATTGATTGTTGTCTGCAGCGATCGGAATGAACGGTGCCACCTGGTTTCATTATAGAAGCTCATAATACACCACGCCTTCCTGGTCCCACCAAACGCAGAGCATTGTCTTCTTTCCGAAGCGATTTGGCCTTGCAGTCGATGTGGATGGTGGACCTGGATCAGCCCATGATTTTGTGCATTTGGGATTCTCAAAATACACCCACTTTTCATCGCCATCACAATTCGATGCAAAAAAGACTTTCTTTCCTGCCGTTGAAGCAACATTTTACTGATGACTTTTCGGTTTTCCATTTGTCTTTCGCTCAGTTGATGTGGCATTCATTTTCCTTCCTTTACAATCTTTCCCATTGCTTGTAAACGATCAGAAATTGTTTGCTGAGCAACCTTTAATCTTTCTGCAAGTTGTTTTGAGTTTGACACGCATCTTCATCCAATAAAGCTTGTACCTGTTGGTCTCCAAAGTTCTTCGGTTGACCTGGACGTCCTACGTCTTTCACGTCGAAATCATCACTTTTGAAGCGTTTCAGCCAGCGTTCACAAGCATCTTGAGATGGAGCATGTTCACCATAAGCTTTCTGAGATATTTAGCAGCATTTTTCTTCAAAATAAAGTAATGAGTTAAAACTCATTTTTCCCACAAATGCTTTTTTTTTGGCACGAAATTCAACATTTTTAAGCATAAAAATACCTATGATGTTAACAGCTTCAGAAATGTTGACATACGAAGTTTTGAAGCTTGCCGTCAATACAACAAAATGGCCTACCTATCAAATCACATATATGCCAACACATGTGTAACTCCACCTATCGGAAAGATCCGCATTATTAACTGGTACACCTGGAACGCGGAGGCACAGGTCACGATGGGCCCAGACAGGGCCGGCCACGCAGGCTCTCACCCTGGGCCTCCAGGTCTCCCCGTGAACTGGGCAGCATGGAGGAGAGCCGTTCATCGTTCTGGCAAACACCTGCGGTGTGCCAGGAGTTCTGGGTGCTGCCAAAGACAAAATGACACAATCCCTGACCCCCGCCGAGCATGCCAGTGAGAGACAAGTAAGGAAAGACTCTTTTTCTTTTTCTTTAAATATACTTTATTGATTTTTCACAGAGAGGAAGAGAGAGGGATAGAGAGTTAGAAACATCGATGAGAGAGATGCGCCCGCAACCAAGGTACATGCCCTTGACCGGAATCGAACCGGGACCTTTCAGTCTGCAGGCCGACGCTCTATCCACTGAGCCAAACCGGTCCCGGCATCTTTTTTTTATTTTTAGATCTGTTGGTTGCCTCCCGCACAAGCCCCGACTGGGAATCGAACCTGCAGCCTTTCGGTCGACACTCAGACCGACTGAGCCACCGGCCAGGGCAGGAAAGGCATTTTGAACAAATATTCAAGCCTGTGGGATGGCAATCGATTCTGAGCAGAGAATAAAGTGGGGCCAGGGGCCGGGGGCCGGGGGCCGGGAGACCTCAGGGGCTGAGCCGTGCTTTACACAGGGAGTCAGGAAGGTCACACGGCCCGGCCGCAGGTGACACCAGAGGGAGCTGATGATCGGCAGCCTGGGCATGGAGGTCTGGCAGTGCAGCCTACTGGGCAGGGCAGGCCCTGACACCAAGGCCCAGGCCGAGGCCCCTCCGAGGCGGACGAGGACGGGGGTGAGGACATGGGGCAGCTTCCTGACTCAGCGAAGGGGGATCGCGATTTGTCCCCGAACCAGCTGATCTTGGCTGCTTCTGGGTGCAGAAAGCCCTTTGAGAGGTTCTTAAAAGTTCTAGAACTTTCTGGAACACCACTGCCCTGGACATACGCATGGTTCAGGGGCCTCTGGACCCTTCACAGGTGGAGCTGTCGAGGCTCAGAGAGGTGGGTCCTGAGGTCACACGGCAGCGACTGCCGCCCCTCCCCCAGCCCCAACCGTGGAGCCGGTGCGGTTTTCTCTGCTGGTGAAGCATCATGAGTGGCAGGTGGGAAGTTTCATAAGGTCCCCCCCCCCCTCTCCTGCCCCTCCCTACCCCACCCCACCCCAGTCAGGAAGCTGGGGCTGGCAGACTCTGTGCTACCCGCCTCACCCCCACCCCACCCCGGCTGGATGGACCCCTTTCCACCCCAGCAGTCAGGTCACTGGGGCAGGCAGGTACTGTGCTGCCCCCACCGCCGCTGGCTGGCCTGGAGGTTAGGATGACTCCTGCAGCAGGCCAGGGGAGAAAAACAGAAATCGGCCTGGGCTGCACGGAGCTGGAGGACAGCACAGAACAGAAATCACCAGCTTGGCCACGAGAAGGCCGGCTGAGTCACAGACCAGAGAGCGTACGGAGTGCAGAGCGGCCCCGCATCCGAGGACCCGTCTCCGGGCAGCTGCCAGCTGCCCATTCCCAGTAGCAGGACCAGGTGCCCGGCCCAGCCTCACACCTCCCTCGTCCTCACTGACCTCAGAGAGCCACCGGCGCCCTCGCTCCCTGCTGGGCTGGGCCTCTCTGAATTCACCAGCTTCAGACAAACCTCCCCTCAGTTCCCCAAGAGGCAAACTGGTTCCTCCCCACAGGCCAGGCGCATGTTACTTCATCAGGGGTACCGGGTGAGCGTGAGTGCATGTTTTTTTTGGGGTGTGTGTTGTTTTTGTTTTTTAGGGAGGAAGGGAAAGGAAGAGGGAGAGAGAGAAAAAAAACACACATCAATAATGAGGGAATCATTGATTGGCTGCCTCCCTTGCTCTTCTTTATAAATTTACAACCAAACTAAGCATCCCTAAAAATGCCCTTCATCTCCTACCCTTTGTGAACTTGACCTGAATGAAACCGCCCAGGGTGAGTGCGGGTGTGTCTGGCTCTGGCTATCCCTTGTAATGTTGTGCACTAAACCCACACAGGTTGTAGTTCATTCATCCTCCTGGCCTTATCAGTATTTTCTATTTATTTTTTAAAAATTGCCTGTGACTCACATATTCACCTATTCACCCATTCTCTTTTTCTTATCAACATGTTTATTTTTACAGAATTGGATATAATTGACCCGTGTTGGTTTCGGGTGTACAACACCATGACTCAGTGTTTGCATGAGCTATGAAACGGCCACCACAAAAGGCTAGTTAACCTCCATAACCACAGAGCTGCAGTCACTCTCTTGTGACGAGAAGTTTTAAGATCTGTCCCCTCTGACACTTTCTAATGGACAACACGGTGTTATTGCCCTCGGTGTTATTGCCGTGCCAGTCATCCTGCCACTATCGAGGGGCCTGGCTTACCTTCCCTTCGGGACTGACGTGAGCAGGGCAGCTATGAATCACTGGCCCCTGCCTTTTGGTGACCATATGTGACTTCCTGTGGACAAATACTCAGTAGTGGAACTGCTGGGTGATACGGTATCTCCCAGGTATCAGCTATCTTTTTGCCAAAGTCCATGCACTGATTTATACCACCACTAGCTCGGGGGAGTTTTTACAAGACTAATTTATCCCAACCCCAAAATTCTCCTTTATTCAGAAAAAATGCACTCCTCCCAGATTCCCTGTTTTTAAAAATGTCCCTTCTGGCCCGGCCGGTGTGGCTCAATGGTTGAGTCAACCTATAAACCAGGAGGTCATAGTTGGACTCCTGGTCAGGGCATATGCCCGGGTTGCAGGCTCCATTCCCAGTGTGAGAAGTACAGGAGGCAGCTGATCAATGATGCCCTCTCATCATTGATGTTTCTATCTCTTTCTCCCTCTTTCTTCCTCTCTGAAATCAAGAATTGGCTTGATTTCAATAAAGAATTGTTGTTTTGTTTTGTTTTAAATATATTTTATTGATTTTGTACAGAGAGGGAGAGAGATAGAGTTAGAAACATCGATGAGAGATCTGTCAGCTGCCTCTTGCACACCCCTACCAGGGATATGCCCGCAACCAAGGTACATGCCCTTGACCGGAATCGAACCCGGGACCTTTCAGTCCCCAAACCGACGCTCTATCCATTGAGCCAAACCGGTTTCGGCTCAATAAAGAATTGTTTTAATAAAGAATTGGCCATTTACATTTTCTCAAAGTACCTCCCACTCCTGAGCTGATGGGATTATTTGCCACACTTGTGTCCCTCCCTGGACCTGCTCTTAGCCACACCCAAAGCCAGGCCCCCACCCCCTCCTTTTGTTTATTTTTAAACTGTTTTTATGGATTTCAGAGAGAGGAGGGGAGAGAGAGATAGAAACATCAATGATGAGAGGGAATCATTGACCAGCGACCTCTGGCACACCCCTCACTGGGGATCGAGCCTGAAACCCAGGCAGGTGCCCTGATCTAGAATGGAACCGTGACCTCCTGGTTCTTAGGTGGATGCTCAACCACTCAGCTGCACCAGCAAGGCCTCCTTTTATGGACTGATGAGCTACTTATTT